AAAAGCATTTTTTTCCCCTGCCGGTTTGGGCAAATAGGCAGGAAAAAAATGCTTTTAAAAAAGTGGGGGGGGAAAAGAGAAAAAGCTTCCGAGGATCGCGTGGCTCACAGGGGAGCCGCGTGATCATCGGAAGCTTCCCCCTCCTCACTTTTTTAAGCATTGTTTCCCTGCCCATTCACCTGCCCCAGCAGAGAAAAATGCTTTAAAAAGTTGGAGGCGGGGGGGGGGGGGGGGGGATGGTAAGAACTATTAATCAGTGGAACAGAAGTTGCCTCCAGAAGTTGTGAATGCTCCAACCTTGGAAGTTTTCAAGAAGATGTCGGATAGCCATTTGTCTGAAACGGTATAGGGTTTCCTGCCTAGGCAGGGGGTTGGACTAGAGGACCTCCAAGGTCCCTTCCAACTCTGCTATTGTACTGTATTCTATTGTAGAAGTTGTGAATGCCCCAACACTGGAAGTCTTTAAGAAGATGTTGGATAGCCATTTGTCTGAAACGGTATAGGGTTTCCTGCCTAGGCAGGGGGTTGGACTAGAGGACCTCCAAGGTCCCTTCCAACTATGTTATTCTATTCTATTCTATTCTTATTCCAACACCTGGAGGGCACAACCTGGATTTCACTCCTCTCCTAGGTTCTCCATTCTAAGCCCCTCCCCATATGGGCGGGGCTTGCCCTTTAACTCCACCCCTCCTGCCCACACCCACTCACCTCAATGGTAGGCAGCGTTTTGTTGGTCTCGCTGCTCCCTTCTCCCAAAATGCTCCCGGCTGACCGCCCTTCGCACTGATACCGGAAGCGCATCCCTCGTTGTTTCGGCTGCTCGATGATCACCAGCTTGGGAGGGTCCCGCATGGCGTCATCCAGAGGTTCTGGGGCCACCGTGGCGCACCCCGAAGGGCCAGGAGCTGTCCAAGGAGCATCCATATCCCGGCTGGGGGGCAGCAGCCCTCTGGGGACCAGCTGCGGCCGCAAGGACAAGTTATTGAGGGTCTGGGACAGCTGTTGGGGGAAGGAATCCTGGGGTGAAGCCGGGGCGGGGCCCACCGACATCCCGTAAGGCTCCAGCCCGTTCTGCAAAAGGCTCATTCTCCCGGCGCTCCGCATCTCCCCCGGCGGGGTGAAGTCGGTGCTTCTGGGAATCAACTTGGGGGGCTCGATCAACGAAGCCCGGATCCTGGATCCTGGATCCTCCGCAAAACCATCTTCTTTAATCAGCTCATCGATGATGGCTAGAAAACGAAGGAGAGAAAGGCTGGGCTCGAGCGGTTGCGACCCATTCATTCGTGCAATTAGCCAACTATCAGTCTTTGCTTTCCTTGCTTGCTAACGGCTGCCATAGAAACGGGGAGGGAGGGGCTTGGGACATTTGGGAGGGGGAATATTGGTGTTGGAGGAGTTATGAAGAAGGGAGTTTTGTGCTCACCATCTTCTGTGCATGCCGGTGGCTGATGTTGGGACTTGGCCAAGGCCAACCGTCTGGCATACAAGCTGAATGAGGCTTTTTGAAGATAGCAATAGCAATAGCAGTTAGACTTATATACCGCTTCATAGGGCTTTCAGCCCTCTCTAAGTGGTTTACAGAGTCAGCATATTGCCCCC